AGAACAGCGAATAACAGTTTTTGGCTTTGTCCTTGACTCCGTGTCATTGACGATTACCCTCACTGATGTGAATAAAGCTAAAGTAAAAGCCAGTTGCCAAGCAATGCAACGTAAACATGAAACTACTGTCACAAGCCCCACAAGCTACACCCCTTAAGAAAGAAACTGACTATGGTGGCTTGTCTCCTGTCTGGTGATCAAACCAGGATAGAGGTTTTCAGAGGCAGCTGCCAGACTCATCATGGCTTCCTGGCGGAACGGATCAAAGAAACAGTACAGTACCTTCATCACAAAATGGCAAAACTTTTGTAATCAGAGGCAAGTCAATTTCATTCAACCATCTTTTGCTTGTCCTTGACTTCCTTACAACACTATACCATCAAGGCCTCACATACACTGCATCAACACTGCCAGAAGTGCATTGTCCAGTTATTACATTAGAGGATGGGAAATGTGTAGGAAAACACGCATTATTGTCCAGGCTGATGAAAGGAATTTACCAGGAAAAACCTCAAATACCGACGTACACGGAAATTTAAGATGTGTCTATTGTTCTTTCATACCTTTAATCCTTATCCCTTGTGGATACATTGTCTTTGAAGGAACCTACGCTGAAACTTGTTGTGTTGATTTTTTTAGTGACCGCATTTCCGAAAATATAGATCACATGGTTTTTGCGAATAATTACATTTTTCAGCTTGTTGGACATTTGAAACAAAGCAGACCAGTGGTCAAGAACCCACTTGTTAAACTTAAAGCATTCGATGATAAAACTCTCTGTGTTGTCACCACGTTGAAGGAATATCCGACAAGGACACACACTTTAAGAGGCTCAGAAGCCAATGGTTTGTTAGCTATCAAAGACCTTTCAGATAGGTTAGTAGAGATACTATAAGCCGTTGGGTTAAGTGTTCTGTCTTATTCTGGAATAAACACTTCAAGATTTAAACCGCACAGCACTCGGGCTGCCAGTACATCTGCACCTAACAGTGCCTCGATGATATCTTGCACAGAGCTGGGTGGTCCTCAGTATTATAACAAGCCTGTTGTTTAAGAGACCATGTTTGCTTAGGCCATCCCCATAAAATGTTTCGTTTCCCATCGCCCTTCCTCTCCTGAAGGTGGGTCGGTCGGTCGGAAAAAAAAAAAAAAAAGAAAAGAATGAATACATGCATATAAAATCTCACGTTTAGTCTATTAACAGGACTATCAAATGTCTAAAAAGGCTACAAAAAACGAAGTATCGATGATAATTTAAGACAATTGGTGTTAATAAGACAAGATCGTGTGCTTGTAAATTAAAGTACTCGCTTCTTTACAAGTGATTCTTGAATTTTTTTTTTGTTTTACTTTTCCAAAAAAATGGGTCGGTCGGGCGATGGGAAACGAAACATTTTATGCGGATGGCCTTATAGGGTATTCAGCATTGTAAGCAACATACTGCTGTGATTTGAAGTTTCGTTCGACTATGCTTAATAAATGTGTTGCTTCAAAATCTCATGTGACCTCATGGCACGATAACGAGGTAGAAAAGTAAAATTAAACCAGACTTACCTGTAATTTTAAGTTTGATTGAGATTCTACCAAGTTGTGAACTGCTGGGAGATTACATGACCTCCCACACACCCTTGGTTTAGTGAGTGTCTGCTATCACTCATATTAAGCCTTCAAAGCATGGGCTTGCGATCTCATGTAATCTCCCAGCACTTTATAACTCAATAGAATCTCAATCAAACTTTAACTTACAGGTAAGTCTCGTTCAATTTAACTATTAAAATAACAGGATTAGAAGAAGGTTGAAATTTCCGATGAATTGCCGAATTTTGATCTTAATAATTTCCCTGAAAGAGAAGATACAGAAGAAAGAAGAAGATTTCGCATTAAAACGCCGCGTTAACTGTTATGACAAGCAATATTGTTAAAACAACACAACCTCTCGGTCGCCTGCCCAAAATGTGGCTTCTAATTCCTCCACTCCACATGCTGTGAACCTCAATTTCGATCAATTCCTTCAATGAGAGCAGATTACAAACTATGTTTCAGGGAAACTACATCAGCGGAGGAGTTTTTAACATAAATTTGGCTCCTGCAAAAAATACAGTCGAAAATACCGAACACCCAAAGCGCGAGTCTCGACGAATCATCGAAAGTAAGCATAGCAGCCAAGGGATCATTAACTCGATCTTGATCACATGTATGAATCGCTGCTATCTTTATTAAAACTTTTCTTCGTGCTTTGAAAACACATTCAGACTAAATTCGACCTCTTTGTATGGTATTAATATTGTCATGTTTCTTTGATATTTTAAAACTATACATTTGGCTTTAACCTGCTATGCCGTTTTTGGATGTTCGGCTATCCGCTTCTCTAATTACATTTGAACTCAGAGCTAAACACTGTGAATTTGTCCTCTTTCCTGCAATTGTACTTCCTCTGATATTTCATCGAGATGTATATAATAAACAAAACATTACATAGCCGCTTGGAGATACGAAATTTCTCTTCTCGAGCTATAAAATATTTCACGAGTGAGCGCAGGAAACGAGTGAAATATTTTTCAGCACTCGAAGAGAAATCTCTTCTCCAAGAGGCAACGTAATATCCTTTATTTATTCATAAATTTAGTAAACTAAAGAAAAAAGCGTAAAGTTAATTTAACTAAGGTACATAGAATAGTAAAACAAGAAACCCGTGTAACAAAAAAAAGAAAATAAATAACAGTCAAGCGTACAATATATAAATACTATCGTATGATCCTTGGTTCTATTCATTGTGCAATAATGTATGTAATATTATTGATCCACGATGTTGACCAAAAGGATCGCAGCCTCTGGAAACGAAACTGTTATTGTCTTCGAAATCGCCCGTCGTCTCCACTGTTTTACCTGATACTACCACGGGAGGGTTTTTTTTTTAACAAGAAATGAACAATCATTAGTGCATGCAAAGATGACATTTTCGTCCCCAGAGCCCGTCGTTTCTTTTGCTCTCGTGGTCTTTCTTTAAAAATTAGGCCGAGTGTCTCTAAGAAAGGGAAGGGCACAGATGACGGGTTTCAGCGTGTGACTGCGATATTGTCTATGCATCAACACGATCGCCCGGCCACAAATAACCTACTGGCTGCACAGGACACCCAAGATGTCCGCCCTCCTTAAGTCGCACGCAATGACTACTCAGTAAAAGAACAGGCTATTGATTGTACTCCTCGCCCAGATACTTAAAATATCATGAATATTTCAGTAAAGGCTATTACAGTGGACGTGGGGATACAAGCAAACAAAATAAATGTTTATTCATGCGTGCGCTACAAAATAATAATCTCTCCAGAGAAACTTCCATACAGAGGAATAATTTCTATGTTTTCACCCTCTTTTCTATGCCTTTTCCCGGGTATTATAAACTATATATGGCGATGAAATAAAGAGATTTAATATTTAGTTAATCATGAGCGGTAATTACTTAAACATGAATTATTTGCTCTTCCTCCAACTTGCCACTGGAGACAAGTAAAATACACACTAACAATAGTTTTTTTTATCAGTTTATGAACAGACTGCGTGATGTGATACAGTCCACAACAATATAACAGTCAGTCAATCAAACAACTGCGGATGTACGTCAAGAACAACCACTCAAGAAAGGATTCGCGGCTATAACTCCGAGGACAACAAAAAAAGCCCCCTCTGGGGGTAATCAAAAAGCAATATTTTTTATTGGCACTTCCTACATATCACTGATATATGATATAAACAAGTTTGAGTACTGGGCTGTATCCCAGCTATTTAAAAGTTTTTCTTTGTTACGGTGCCGGTGATCTCATTATTATGCCTAAAGCACACCCTTCTTTATTCACAATATTTTATTATTGTATCAGTTTCAGTAGTGTCTTGCACAGTTTCTGACCGCAACACAGCGTGATTATGTGCCAGCTTACCGAGCGAACCAAGTGTCAGTTTGATTGATGAATTTGCTTTATGTCTGATTTCAGAAACAACGATATTGACGGTTTTCTGTTGATGGACTGGGATATTTTAATAATCCCCAGATCTTAGTTTATTTTACTTAGTAAATTTAACAAAACAGCGTGATACCGATATAGATGTTTCTCTTGGCTTTAGTTTTTCACTCACTTCATCGGCATCTGAGTAAACAGCAAACAACTTTTTCAATTTGCGTATATTTGCACCTTTCTCTCCAAGACTTCCACAATTAAAACATGTCATGTTTTATTATGTTTTATTATTTTTTTAGACTGTAATAATATCGCTGACTGTTGCTGTTGACATCTTTTCTATAATACATTTTATAGACCCTGCCTTATCAGTCGTTTTAATAGACAATATACAGCTGAATATATTTTTCTATTTGAAGTAAACACAAAAGTTGAACTTAAATTATTGTTTGAAATCTTTAGTTTGCGTTCAATAGTGTGTGATTAGTGTTTCGTCGTTGAATGATGGGGATGAATAATGCCTTTGTGATTCCATGCACTTGCAATTATAAGAATTTCCATGTGAAAAGAAATTGTGGTAGTTATGGAGGAATTATGCAAAACGTCCCGAGTTCGTATTTAAACCCGCTAAACCGTGAACGTGTAAATCGTGCCGGCAATTTTTTTTCCAGCCGGCATGGTTAATATTACACCAGTATTTATCTAATGTCATTCTAGAGGCGGACTTCATTTCATTTCACACGAAGCGGTCACAACATGTCACAGATGCTGCTATTAGGACTTCAATCACTGCTTATACAATTTAGCGTTTATGGAAGAGCTCAGGCTTTTCCTTGTGGTGAAATCTGCGAGTGTTCAGATGAACAACCATTTGTAGCAAACTGCAGTGAAAGAAATCTACTTTTTCTGCCACAAGGACTACCGGAATCAACTGCGTACTTGTGAGTTGATAGTTTAATTTTTGTAATTTAGCTTTAGTCCATAATAGTCAAAGCGATGTATCATTCAGACGAAACAAAAGTTCTGTACAGCAAGCGGCTCACCCCTTTCTCTGTTAAGTAAATCGTCAGCAACTTCGCTGAAATATGCTCCAAATGTAAGGGTAAGGAATTTAAAGATTTTCCTCCTGCAAAGTCAAAGGTTAAAGGAAAACTATATAGTGTAAGATTTTAGCTGGTTTTTAAATGACGGGATTGATTCTTTTTAGAATGAGCAATATCACAATAGATTCCCTCAAACAAAAATAAGAGACATTTTGTTTAACAATTTAGAACTATCATCGATTGAGATTTCAAGAGTGAACGATTGCATTTAAATGTTTTTTGCGTGATATATTTGTTGTTGATTCAGCTGTCTGAGTATCATTCCACACACTTGTCTATTAATCCAAACAAGGCCGGGTTTTCGAGACATGATGATATTCCTAACAACACGTGATCAGGAGTGCCGGGCAAGGCGAACCACTTGTACTAAAACCCGGAACTGACCGAAATATGCCTGAAACACCTAAAAAGACGTAAAAGGAATTAAACTCATCCACAGATCAATGTTCTGTTTGTTTTTGTTTGTCGTTTCTTGTTTATGTTACGTATTGTATTTCCAGGTTTTTAAGGCGTTTCAGGGTGTATTAGTGTTTCGGGTTTAACATGGAATAACAAAGTTCCTACTAACATCGAAAGAAACAATCAAAATCGATTGGATGTTTATGTCTTCTTGCGAGTTAATTCTCGCGACCTGCTAATGAAACTATGATAAATGAAGAAATAAATTGAAATAAAAACAGTTGAATAAATTATAAAGTAATAAACCTAAATGTTACTATGTTTTCTAATTTCTACAGCTCCATTAACTTTCCGGATTCGTTTTGTTTTTTCTAGAGATCTCTCAGGCAACGCCATTTCAACTTTGATACCCGAACAAGTCAAGCGTCTTCCAAGCAAACTGCTTATTTTGTGAGTTGTACTTGTCTATTGGTGGTTCCCATGATCAAACCTTAAGAACATCAACGGACGGAACTGGCTAGTTTAAAGCATTTCTTTCCTTTATAGGAGATTTAACCTAAAGCATTGCATTCTTATTATAAGATTTAACCCATTTTTTTAGCCACTCTTCGAGCCCAGGAAAAATCAAGGCAGAGCTCTACTGAGACAGTAAACAGAATGCAAAGTAGATAGACGCTTACTAAAAGTGTTTGCTTATATAGAGGTCAGACAACAATAATGGAAAACTTTCGAATCTTGTTGTTTGGCGATAATTTTACATTAATAATAACATTCCAATTCAACTTTAGGGTGTTTAACTCCAGCTTAACCCGGTAGTCGGAGTCAAATCGCTTTTATCAAAGGTCACCTCTGTAAGACGAACACCTCGCTTAAACGGAAAAACATTGTTAGAGTTTGTCCCATCTTTTTGTCGATTGTAGTCTAAAGGCGTTACCGTGATTGTTTTCTTTTAGGGCGCTGTCTAATAAAACCTTGACTGACCTTCTCTGAGTAGACTATGACAATGTCCAATCAGATTTTACATTAGCTGTATATTTAAAACCGCTCTTTATATGTGCTAATCAATAGCAAGAGAATAAGTGAAGTAAGTAAGGATCCAGCTTTTGTTTGAACTTGCAGTTTAGACGGGTCCGGTTATCATCAAACCAGTATTTTCGGTCACCGTTTTTGACAGCCGTGCATTGACCCGTTACACCTAAAGCTCATTAGAGAGTTAAAAAATCAGGCAGAGACGATTGAGCAGTTGCCTCCTTTTAGCCGTTAATAAAGATTGAGTTTGTCGTAAACATAACTCTAAGCTCTCTTCTTTACTTCACCTTTAGACCTTGCGGCTTTTTTTCTCTCGATCCCTCATTGTTTCTTTGTCTTTGTTTTCCCTTAATTGATTATTATCATTATTTTTATACTTATTCACTGCTTATTGTTACTCTGCCTACTTCGCCGCTCAATTAATATTTGGTGTTTTTATTGGTTCTTCAGTGCTAAGATGATCGTTCACCAGAGGTGAAAAAATGACAAAGCACCACCCATAAAAGTTACCTCCGTCGATTATGAGAGATTTGAAAAAAATTTCCTGGACGTCCCCTATAACCTGAGATAGGTCTCTATTTTCATTTAGCTTAATAAATAAAATTCTCACGGGAAAGGCGAAACGACCACGTAAGAGAGAATGTATGGAAGCTGGTAAAATTACGTCCTCTAGTATTTTAAATTGCACCGGTATAGTTTGAGTAGGGTCTGAAAGTTTCAAAATTTGTCTAATATCCTGAAAATTTACTTTTTTATCTTAGAGATTTGTCTGCTAATCCCTTGAAATGTGATGACCATAGCCTCAAGACTCTAAAGAATACAATAACCTTAAAGTCCAGCTGCCAAGACTCTAATTTTGTGGAGACTGATGGTATACATTTTTTACGGACTAGAGGTTAGCCGAGTATTAAATATTGTTAAAGCTCAAAATAAACCATTGAAATTTGACGGCATCCATAAAGTTCACCTACAAATTGAGTGATATATTACTCCCTGAAAAGGGACATCTTCCTTCAGTCTTAATAATATATATAGACTTAACAGTTTAAATGTAACTTGCATCACCATTATTTACATTAACTCAAATTAGTTATCACTTGAAAACATGCTTTTCTGACTTTTTCAGAAAAAAGATCATTACATCGTTCAAGAAGAACTGTAACAGGTAGGTCTTATCTTGATTATTCTTTTCCGTCCTCGTACTGTGTTTCTCAACTATGCCTCAAGTTTCTAGTAATGCGAAGTTAAAAATATATATGTTCGATAGTCGATGTCTGTCCCCAACTCACCTGTACCTTCCCTAAAAATATTATTGTAAATGGTTGCATTGAAAAAATTGCTAATGGAACGTTGGGTGCCCTTCAAAGCTTGGCCGGAGAATTGCCGGCCCAGGAAAATTTATTTCATGGTCAAGTTATTCGACCACTTAAGTGATAAATGTTGTTGAGGAATTCTTCTTACGTTTCCAACCCATCATTTAACACAGAATGCCAGAAAGGATCACCAAACTGCATGAAGCACATTTGTGGAGGGATCGAATATTGGTTGATATACGCCACCTACTGGGGTTGCTGTAACGGAAGTATCCACGACTTACGCCAGACACACTGCAGTGTAAATCAAGGAGTACAGCCGTGTAAAAGTCCCCATGCCGGGTCATTTGAATGCCAAAATGGTCGCTGCATTCCAGAACCATGGCTGTGCAACAATGCTAATGACTGCCAAGACGGAAGTGATGAAGCTGGCTGCGAGGAGTGCAACGGAACGCAATTCTTCCGCTGCTGGAATAAAAGATGTGTTCCACAGTCGGTTGTTTGCGATGCGTACAACGACTGCGGCGACGGTAGCGATGAAACATTTTGCCGCACGTTAGATGGAGGGTGGTGTAAGACGCAGGAATTCCGTTGTGCCACAGATGTTTGTGTTCCCATCAGAAATGTTTGTGATGGTAAAGCTGACTGCGCCGATTACTCAGACGAAATTGGATGCATGGAAGGTATGATAAGCAGGAGAAAATTCTTTGTTTCATTTGTCCAGTGGCTATAGTCTTAGAAATATGTTTCGGAGATAAGAGAACACTTGCGTCTGAAGGGTCCGCGATATGGGTGGACCTCTCTCATCCGCAGATTCCTCTTTGAGTCGAAGGCGTTTGAGGAAGGGGAACAATAATGCCCGCGGAGGATGCCTTTTCCCTCCTCCCATCGTCTACCGCTCGCTTTCTTGTTTTTAATCATACCTATTGTTTTGGAATAACCTGAGGACCCTCTGCGGAGGAGAAGATATGTGGACCGGTTTTGCAAGGGACAGGGTTCCTTTCTAAAGGCAAAGAGTAATTTGATCAATGGGGAATGAGCTTTCTAAGACTTAGCTTTTGATAGATTTACTTACCGCAGTCCCTTATACCCGCAGTCTGTGAACCGGGATGGACGAAATACATGTCATCGTGCTATAAGTACTTCAACAGCCAACGAAGATGGACTGATGCAAGAGGCCTTTGTAAGAACCTTACTGCTGATCTTGCTAAGATCACCAGTCGTGATTTACACGATTTTGTCTTCCATCTTGGTAGTCATCAGCCGTTTGACACTTGGATCGGTTTGCGCCAGCAATCAACAATAAGCTTTATTTGGACAGACGGTGCCTCTGTTGGCCAATTCACTTTTTGGTCTGACGGAGAACCTGCGTCAGGAAATGACGTTTGCGCCAAAATGGGTCGTAACGATGCTCTTGGACGATGGAGGACAGGTGAATGTACCATTGCACACAACTCATATGTGTGCGAAAAAGGTTTGTTCTAAATCAAGTCAGCATTTTAGTCGCCCAGCTGGGACGAAAGATCAAACCCTTTGACTTCTAATATACGTTCTTGAGAGAACATAATCCCTATAGAACCTAAGAACATTGTTTTTCAAAGGTTTCTCTTGGTTCATTGAATTTACATATTATAATTGCTTTGCAGCTGGAGTTTGCGATTATTTACCGACGGGAACTAATTGCAGTGGCACCTTTGGTAAGTTTTAACATTTCACTCTGGCTCCATGTAGAACTAAGAGAATGCATAACCATACAGTGACCGTTCCATAACTATCCGAGTGTTGCGAGTTCACATTCATCTTCTATAAACTTCTATTTAGGCAAAGAAGGAGGAAAGAGATTTTAACACCAAATACCAGCGGTAACCTGATTTAATCAAGGTTGCTTGGGGCTTTGGGCTTTACGCACTGGAAAGCTATTGTTTCGCGTTCACTTACGGCAAGGCATGACAGGGCCCGTTCCGTATGCCCAATGCTCAATTGCCAATGACCAAGTGCTAAAGCAGCCTTTATTGAATTAGGTATACACAATAGCTACTGAGCTGTTTAGCTGTTGGGCCATCTCTGCAAATATCATGTTGCGTCTTGTCAGAGTCATGGATAGCTTCTTTCCTATATTCCTTTCACAACCAGCCAGAGAATGAATTACTTTGTCTTTGAAAATTTGTCTTTTTTTATCCAAAGAAAAGCCTCTCTCATCCGCAGATCCCTCTTTGAGTCGAAGGGCGTTTGAGGAAGGGAAACAATAATGCGCGCGGAGGATGCCTTTCCCCTCTTCCCATCGTCTACCGCCCGCTTTCTTGTTTTTAATCATACTTATTGTTTTGGAATAACCTGAGGACCCTCTGCGGAGGAGAAGATATGTGGACCGGATTTGCAAGGGACAGGGTTCCTTTCTAAAGGCAAAGAGTAATTTGATCAATGGGGAATGAGCTTTCTAAGACTTAGCTTTTGATAGATTTACTTACCGCAGTCCCTTATACCCGCAGTCTGTGAACCTGGATGGGACAAATACATGTCATCGTGCTATAAGTACTTCAACAGCCAACGAAGATGGACTGATGCAAGAGGCCTTTGTAAGAGCCTTACTGCTGATCTTGCTAAGATCACCAGTCGTGATGTACACGATTTTGTCTTCCATCTTGGTCGTCATCAGCCGTTTGACACTTGGATCGGTTTGCGCCAGCAATCAACAGTAAGCTTAGTTTGGACAGACGGTGCCTCTGTTGGCCAATTCACTTTTTGGTCCGACGGAGAACCTGCGTCAGGAAATGACGTTTGCGCCAAAATGGGTCGTAACGATACTCATGGACGATGGAGGACTGGCGAATGTACCATTGCACACAACTCATATGTGTGCGAAAAAGGTTTGTTCTAAATCAAGTCAGCATTTTAGTCGCCCAGCTGGGACGAAAGATTAAACCCTTTGACTTCTAATATACGTTCGTTAGAGAGCATAATCCCTATAACACCTAAGAACATTTTTTTCAAAGGTTTCTCTCGGTTCGTTGAATTTACATATTATGATTGCTTTGCAGCTGGAATTTGCGGTTATTTACCGACGGGAAGTAATTCACCTGGTAATTGCAGTGGCACCTTTGGTAAGTTTTAACATTTCACTCTGGTTCCATGTAGAACTAAGAGAAAGCATAACCATAAAGTGACCGTTCCATAACTATCCGAGTGTTGCGAGTTCACATTCATCTTCTATAAACTTCTATTTAGGCAAAGAAGGAGGAAAGAGAATTTAACATCAAATAACAGATAACCTGATTTAATCAGGGTTGCTTGGGGCATTGGGCGCACTGGAAGGCTATTGTTTCGCATTCACTCAAGCAAGGCATGACAGGGCCAGTTCCGTATGCCCAATGCTCAATTGCCAATGACTAAGTGCTAAAGCAGCCTTTATTGAATTAGGTATACCCAATAGCTTCTGAGCTGTTAAACTGTTGGGCCATCTCTGCAAATATCATGTTGCGTCTTGTCAGGGTCATGGATAGCTTCTTTCCTATATTCCTTTCACAACCAGCCAGAGAATGAATTACTTTGACTTTGAAAATTTGTCTTTTTTTATCCAAAGAAAAGCCAAGGATGTTCTTAGTCCCAAACGAAGAGATCTCATCAGTCAGCTACGGTTATGAGGTCAATGTGAGGTGCACAGCGTCTGGGTTTCCTCGCCCCACAATCACGTTGCTTGTCAACCAACTCAGTCCTTATACAGTGGAGGGAACTCATTTATTCATGTCACCTTATGAAGCTAACATGACATTTGTTGTCAAAATGACGTCTGATGTAGAATGTCACGTCACCAATAGGTTGGAAAGCAGCTTTTTACGAATAAGAATCAACTTGAAAGGTTTGTTTTTAACTGCGTGCAGTGACTGCATTACATTATCTTTTTTTTTTTTTGGCGATAAAGCCAAAGTAGGAAAAACAAGAAACACAATAACGTTCCACTCACGCGATGTTTGATTACAAGCTATTTGCGAAGTCTTCTACATTCTAGTCTCAATCGTGTTCTGACGGAAGCTAATAGTTGGCCACTGGCCTATCTGCATAGCCGAATTCCCATTCTTTCTTTCAAAATAAAAAAAGATGACAGATAATGAAACAAATGATTCATATGAGACAAACAAGGTTAAGAATCCCAATAGGAAGGAGAAGAATCAGTTGGTTATTTAATCAGGATGGTTGAGGATTTGATCTCGGGACTATCCAGCTAACGGTCATGGCAGGACTTCAAGCCCAGAGCTTCAAGCTCGCAGCCACGCTGCTACCCTTACTATTTGAAGAGACAGTTTTATAGCGTTTATTTTTCGTCATTTGCAGACGATGACGTAGCTTACATTAAAGCAGTATTAAGACTTACTGATAAACAGTTTACACCCGAGCTCAATGATCCGTCATCAAAGGCATTTAAGAACCTTTCAGCCTTGTTAGAAGAAGGAATGAAAGCTGTGTACGTTGATGTCAGAGATGTAAATGTTGTGGGTTTCAGGTAAGTTCGTGTTTAGTAGAATGAAGAAAGACTTAGGTGTCCTTCTCGCTTGCTTTTTTGCATGGAAACAAGTCCATTTGTTTGCAAATAACCGCATAAACATAGTAACCCTTTAGGGTACTTCTCAGTTTGTCCCCGACGTCACGACTCAATTTTAAAGATCCATTGGCCTTTGAGAACTATCTCACTATCTCAGATTGTGTCTAATCTATTCTACCTTTTGACTCCAGGGAAGGAGGTGTCGTTGCAGAATTCCTCCTTGACATTGTGAGGGGAACATCTACTGACTTTGAAGGCATGCTTCAAAGCGCCATAAACAATAAGCAGTTTGGAAATGCTGTGGTTGAGTCATTTAGTGAAGTGAAAGGTTTGTTTTGGAAATCAGAGGAGAAACGTCTTCTCAGTCCTCACCTTTGTTTGATTGTTTTTTTTTTTACGTTTTTAAATTCTTTTTAGTATAAATGCTTACAACTATAAAAACTGGCAGAACACCGATGACGCATAAGTAACGACCCCACTTAATGTAATTGCACTTAATTTTTCAAGGGAAATGGAATTAAAGATATCATAAAGGGTTGAGCACTTTCATTTATCCAAGAGTACCTTAAATAATCAAATCGGACTGTGCATTTCCTAACGCAAAATAATACTCCTAGTTTGGGAAGTCTTGTTCAATTAACCAATGAGACTAGAGCCTCCAGTTTTATAGCTGGACGATGGTTAATAAAGGTTCCGACGACGACCGCTAAGCACGAAGTAAGGGTTAATTGCTTCCCCCTCCAAACCGGTTGGCATTTATAGAATTGGCAATTTTCACAAACGAAAGAATGCATTTTCCGCTTTTGGCGCAAAGAGTGATAAGAGTCATAATGATGATGCCAATACTTTGTACCCGCTTTTTCTAGCATGCCCAAAGGAATTCTTCAACGTGACTTGGAGCGCAACTATTGAAGGAAATCATGCTACCTCAGGTTGTCCCAGAGGAGCTTCAGGTACAAAAGTCGGATGTTAAAATTATTAATTGAAAGCTGACAAGAATTATTATATCTCTTTTTAATGATGATCATGTTCACTTTCATATCTTTGTCCACAGTTCTAAGTATGTTTCATTTCATATATTTCAATCGATATGTAATTTTATCGTGAACTTGGAAATATAGGGTAGGTTCCATTGGGATGATCCGGATCAGGATCACGGTGATCCCAGCTAAATCGGATCATAGCTCATCGGAGGAACCGTCGAATCCAACCAGGGATAGAATTCATCGGTTCATTTGCCGTATCATGATCCGAGTGATCTCAGATCTCTGATCCTGATCCGAATCTTCCCAAAGGATCGATCGCATCCTTAGTGAAATAAACTTTAGAGTAATTCAATCGTCCTAGCTAAATTTAGAAATCACATAAAATTTTCTGATGTTGCCTTGAACCAATTTTCGGGAAATGAATGGATTGTACGTTGGGGCCATAATGTGAACGTTAAAGTGCTAGCTAGTGCTGTTTTTTTTTTTTGGCAGATCTATAATCCCTTTTTTTAATTTACCATAGGAACGTCGAGAAGGAAATGTTTAGATAATGGTGTGTGGGACTATCCTGATTACAGCCAGTGTACTACTATAGAGTTCAACCAGTTGAAGGAAAAGGTTTGTATCTTGACGTATTCCACCGTTTTATTTTGTCATAACTGATATAAACGAGCGCCGTTTTCTAACTGAGCGTTAAATTAACAGTGGCATGCAAAGCAATCGAGCCTTTGTGTGGAAGCAAGGCGGGTGGTAACTTTGCTTTGATACAAATTGCCGTTTGTATGTATAATACCGGTAGCTGATTTGTATTTGATGAGATGTGAGGTTTCTATTATAACATGGTCACATCAGTCTTTCTCCAACTGAAGGCTGGTATTTGTTTTGAGAAGAATCAAATATTGCATTCAAATAGCTGATATGATACTATAATTGAAACCTACGGATACTTTAGCGTTGAGATTTGATTTTCCTCAAGGGAATAACTTCCTACTGTTGCATATTGTTTCTACTATAGTTTGAAAACTTGCTTAACTCGTCCAGACCCTCGAAAAACCAAGTCACCGTGATTATCACTGAGCTGTCGACACTAACTAAACCACAGAGATATGACGCCGTGATGGCTGGAAATATTAAAGCATCAACAGAGATACTAAGAGAAGTTGTAGAGTACAACAGGAAGTTTTCTGCCAGTCTTGAAACTGAGGTAGCAAATATAGAGGTCAGTGCTCTTTATAAAATTATCTATTACTATTGTATCCTGTGATGCAGGTAAATGTTCAATCAGAACTACATTAGAGATGATAAGCATAGTGCAAGGGGAAAAGACTCAAAAACGGTGGCCAAATACGGATGGGATTGCATGGGCGAAAGGGAAGGTGCATCAGAGGACATCAAAATTACTTCATGTGACTGAAGTCTGGACTGAGCAAAGGGTAGTTAAGCGTTGATAGAGTACACTTTTATAATCTTTATTATCTATTTAAAACATGTGCTATCAGGCGCTCTGTGGATAATAAAGATCCTCTTTCTTGCTCTATAAATTTAATTGCTGCTCATTCGCCATTTTTGCGTCGCCCATAATCCACTTTGTTTGTCGCCCAAAGTTTTGCATGACCTTTATTTTCAATTACTTTCTCCTGGATGTCAGTTGCCGAAAAATTAAATTGAAGACAAAATTTGTGCTTATGCAAGACTTTGCAGATGCTCATCCAAGATGTATTTTGGGCAATGCGGAAGTGGCGAAAGTTACTAAATGAGTAAAACTGTTTTACTACCTTCATGGGCTAAAAAAGGACAACCCTTTGTGACCTTAACTATAAAGATTTCCTCAAACTTTGTTTTTAAAGTTATCAACTTTATTTTTGATTTTTTCCTAGGGATTTCTCCAGACTGCCAGCAACCTTCTCCACTTGAACAATTTAAGAGATTTCAATCAATTACAGAAGGTATGCATGCACATTGTTTACCAAACTACTCTGTGATATTAGACGGTGGTAAAATTAAACTAACAATCTAATTAATCAATTACCGGTTTTTTGTCTTTCTACTTTGACATCAATTTGTTACGTTTTGTATAATGTTCAGTCCTTCAGTGCAAATATTTGTGTTTGTCCTTGTTACCTTTCAACAGAGTGATAGGACAACAACTGATTTAACCAAAATATTAGAGGAGTATGGCCTCCAGGCAGCTGCTGGACAGAATAACGTGAACTTGGTGCAATCTGTGGTAAAGGACAACCTAGGTAACTAGAGTGTTCCCTTCGAGCAATGTCACTTTATCAGATCCTTCCCCTTCCCCCTCCCGCACTCATTCATTCAACCTTTTCATCTCGGCTGGGACGTAAGGCCCCAATCAAACGTCTCCACTTTACCCTGTCCTGATCTTTGGTCTTTGCCTCGCCCGATTTCAGACCAAACTCCTCCAGCTCTTTCGTCACTATTGTCCACCAGGTCATAGTATAATGGGCAGGTTTCAAACGGTTGAAAATAAACTGAACTGAACTCAAGAACCTTCATTAACCTTCATGAACCTTCATTAAGACCACTTTTTCATAACTTTTTATTTTCTGCCATGTAGCAATGGAGACACTACTTGTTACATCTGATGCTCAAGAACCAGTCACCTTTCCTAGTTATTCAGATGGTCCTCTGTCATCACCAAACTGGACAAACTGTGGTAAACAATACATTACCTTACCAGCCAGTCTTTTCAGCGACGATAGCAGCTTATCAACCAACGGTAAGTACAACACAATTCCAGAAGCGCAACATGGCAACGCAGTCGAACCACAGTCCAGCTCACGAAAGTTGTCAATGTAAACGTTTAACGTCCTTGTTCTACATTGTGTGTTGTATTCTGGCAATCGCGACATTTGGCTTCAAAATTTTGTTATTAGGGGGTTTCCTCTTTTCTTAAAGTGGAAATACAATAGATGTTATAATTTTGTTTTGTAGGAACAAAAGTAGCAAGCTTTCTCTTCAGAACGTTAACTTCTTTCTTGAATCAGGACAGGTACGGTAGATAAAAATAATATTCAAGGCAATTTTTTCATTATATAGTATTTGTGTCAATATTCTTCAATTTCGTTTCAAAGGTCTTCTTAGTGAAGATTCTGGCTCCTTGTCAGTCTTTCATTGTCAGTATCTCAGTTACACAATAACCACTTGCTCCGCTTCTTAACATTTTTCGCTTGCACGGTCTCACTCTTCAGGTTTTGCAGGCCTAATACTCGAAGGTGGAATCCTGGAGAGAAACACTTACAACGCACGGCCGATACAATTTTCCTTTTCGTAAAACGGCTACTATTTCAATTCTAAGACAATTCGAAACTTTTTGTCCTGTCGTTAAAAATGTTTCTAATCTCTCTCTCTTACCACTACACTACTATAGTCAAAACTCTGGATAATAAACTGTCTTTCATAACTGATACCTCTAAAACTGTTAACCCCAGCCCTTTCCATACCCTTTAACGTAAATTCAATTTGGTCTGAGACGTCATTCTCTCTAAGACTATTTAAAATGTATCATTTGTCTTATTGGGACTTTAATCCAGGGAATATATTACATCTATCTTGACTAAAAGTTTGGTTACCAGTTTTGGCATCGATCGTTAAAAATGGCAACGACCGTTTACGAAAGGGAAATAAGCAGCCCCGATCACTTGAAGTTTAGGCAAAAATGTGTGTCCAGGTTTAGCGTATTAACAATGCTTATGTACGAGTAGTGTCTTTTCACATTTTAGTGCATATGAAAAAGTTGGCCAGCAGTTCCAAGTAGAGTCTCGCATCATAGCCAGTTCAGTAAAGCCACCTCCAGGAAAATTAGTTGATCCTGTGGTGATTGTATTCGGCGGTGTTCAGGTAATTGGTTATAGATCTGTTGCAGAACGTAAGATAAGAAGTTTTTTTCCTTTTTTTAGGTGCGCTGCAGCTATGTATCCCGAACGAAAAGTTAAGCTTATCTTTTCAACTTCTGCTGGAAAAGAAAAAGAGGAAAAAAGAATTCTTGAAGTTTTGCTAGGGCCACTGTACCTGCTCAAGTTCTACTCACGTCTCTACTCACCTTGAGCGATATACATGTGTGTAGTAGAGATCTTTATAAATAAGTCAAAAAGGTTATTATGGTCAGATATTCCTCCCTGTTACTATGACAGTATGTTCTTTATCTGAAGGAGCCTGTTCTCCTCCCCTCCCCCTAGGACGTTTTTTAAAAATTTACAACTCGGGCTTAAAAGGAAAAAATGGCTGGCTACGTCCCTACAATATTCTGTAACTCTCTGAGCGAAGAAACCATGTAACGATGTGGTAAAGTATACTTGCCCGGAACGTTTTGTACTTTTAAACAAACATTGTGCATTTTACTTGCAGGATTCTGCTAAATCTGTTATCTGTGTATACTGGGATTATGACCTGTAAGTAACTAAAGAGTAGGGCTACAGATGTAGTATCTGATATTTGTGTATAACAGCACTTGATGTATTCTGAAGCATGGACCTAGCTGTTTCGTAGCTTTGATTGGAAAGGATTAGGTTTAATGTTAGCTTATTAGTCTAGTTTTTAGACCTTACGTAAGAAAAGGGAAAAAAGACTCCTAATGAAAGGGACTGCTTTCCCGAAGGGGAGTCAAGGAATTTGACAATCTCACGAAAGCTTCCCAGCTGGGATGTTAGTAAACTTCAGGCCGGATGGTAGTCAACTTTCTGTTGGTTAGGGACACTCGGCAATTCCCCGAAAAAGGGTTGCTTCCATAACAACGAGAAATAATATTAATGCATAAGCGGCCCTTGCAAGTCGGTAAGCAACAAGTTCACTCTTAGTGGCATCTTAATTTTAGTTCACCTTTTAATACATTTATGTACTGCGATAGAAACTCACTAGCGTAAATTTGGGCCTGATTCAGTAATGACAAATTCCAACTTAAATTATTAGCCCTGAAAAAGTTCTATTTGAATTTCAGTAATGAGGAAGGTGGCGGCTGGTCCACTGACGGTTGTCAGCTTGCGTCACGTGACAACGGTAGTGTCACGTGCGAGTGTGATCATTTGACGAATTTTGCGGTTTTGACGGACACGACCGGCATATCCTCTGTAAGTGAAACTTTTTTGTTGACGTGTTACTTCGTGTCACACAATAAACAACCAGGATAACCGAGCTTCATGCTACAACTATAGTTTATTTTTGCCCAGTCCAATGTATCGTGAACTTTCTGAAAGATATTTGATGCATCCAGTAAACATGTCTGCTACTAGTTTTTTACAACACTTTATTACAGATTTACATACAAAGGAAAAAAGGTATAAAAGTTTCAAAAATTGTCATTACAGAGAAAAACAATAAGAAACAATAAACAAAGCAAAAGGCTTAACAGGAAGGTGGGGCCGGGGGGGACGGTAAATAAATATTGGCCCATAATAATTCAGCCCTTTGCCGTAATGCCAGCTCTGCATTCAGTTTTGTTTTACAGATTAGTTAGTTATCTGCTAGCATGGATAATAGAAAGACCAGTCTTTCTATTATCCATGCTGCTAGCAGACAGTTAGTGACTTATCTGTAGGTTTTGCGCGCATTTCATGACTTCCATGGACCTTGATTATTCCGGGTTTTATAAGAACTTCATCCAATAATAATTATTAGGATTTTGTTGAGCCAATGTAATGCGCAGATGAAAATTTCTTTCCCTGGATTGATATTTGCGCAAGAAACATAAATAAATATTATTATATTATCGTTATTATATTATTGATATAAGAAGTTACTAATAGCATATTTGTATTTTAAGGATCATCAGTCAGAACACAGTGAACCGCTGCGTTATATCACGTTAGTTGGATGTTGCCTCTCTCTACTGGGACTTGTCATAACACTCATTCTTCACATTGTTTTGTGGAGGTTTGTTATCCCATGCCATAAAATTTGCATGAGTTCTTAAAGTTGTCAAATTACAATAATTAAATCTAATAATTTGCTTTCTGCTCTTTATTGAGGATTTTGAAGTCACCCAAGACAGTAATTCACGTCAACCTATGTATTGCTCTTCTTATTGCTAATATCCTTTTGCTGGTTGGTTATGTTGCCACAGAATACAAGGTACTGGTGACTAGCTTATCCATTTAATTAATTATAAACTTTTTAATATACAACTATTGCAATGTGAAAAAGGAGGGGCAATGATCGTACGTTCTTTTCTTTTTGTAGATGTCAGCTAGACACTGAGTCAGTAGTATTATCGTAGATATTTGTTTTAAATTGCCGAGATATAATAGACTTCAGCGCCGCCTTCTAGCTTTAATTCCACACGAATCCTTTTTTTTCACAGACAGACAAACATCCAAGAGATTCTTAAATTCTTTTATAACCTGTTTCTTTTAAGATGATGTGGGAACTGACTTGTCACAACAGTTATTTTTTTCTTTTCGTTATATAAATTTTTCGTCCTTTTTACAATTTAGATCCTTTGCACCATCGTGTCTGTTTTGCTTCACTTCTTCTTCCTGGGCGCCATATTTTGGATGCTGGCTGAAGGATTACAGATTTATTTCTCAATTGTTAAAGTTTTCGCAGGGGGTGGAAAGCTAAAATATTTCTATATCCTGGGATGGGGTAAGTGTCGACTGTTTACTCACCTGATTTGCTTTTATTATTATTCAAAACTGTCTCTGAAGGCTAATGAACTCGTTAACTACTTAATTTCTAATACTTACTTACAAGAATACGAAGTGTCTAGATTTGGGGCGAGACTTGATCAAGTTACTTCGAAATTGAAATCAGTGTCCCTTAGTGCTGTAACTTTGCACTTGTAGAATCCTGGGTTTAAGCTTTGAGAACACAACTCGACTCAACTTACAGTAAATATGTGTAGCTCCGAAAACAAATTTGGCGCCTCCTTTCCGAAAACCACCTGCAGGCGCGGCTGCATATGCATAAGATAGATATCGCGTGAAAATGATGTTCATACATTACAGCACTGTTCAGATTCCTTAGGGATCGTGAGAATCCCATTTAACCAGCCTAAAAGACCTCTTTAGCTTGTTTGTTTTGCTTTTATTGGGAAAACAAAATAAACAAGCTAAAAAGTTCTATTCTTTACAGTTACACACAAACATACATACAAACTTTATTTAACTGTCAAAATCTTCTAGCATGCCTATGGAGGCCCACTAATTGGTGACACTTAAAAATAGTCATTTTGGTTGCTTTTCGATTGTACATGTTACTCTGTTATCTTGTAGGTTTACCCCTGGGTATTGTAGTTTCTTGTCTGGGAATCACACAAACCGTTGGTTATGGAGCTGATCAAACGTAAGTGATCTGGACTTTAGGCACTTTTGACCCAGAGTTTGGACGGTTAAAGTGTAGATTATTGACGGTATAACCTCTTAAGACCATCACACAGTTTTTCTGTTACCGTTCTCAAATTTTTTCCGGCTATTTTTTAAGTACCGTTATTTTTAAACGTATCCGCCGTTGTGTTTTAGATGTTGGATATCTGTATCATCTGGCCTTATTTGGACATTTATAGGCCCAGCCCTCACAGTTGTGTTGGTAGGTTTGTCCGCTTTGTCTTTGTTGAAATTCTTGAAATAAAATGCAGATATTTGGAAAGGGGTTGGGGGAGGAGTTAAACGGGCTATCTTTTATCATTGATGAGTCTCTGAATTGCTCAGTTAAGTATAAAATATGTCTTCAGTTTTGCAAGGAGATAACCGCAGCAGGATCAGCTCAGTTAGAGCGCTTGACTGAAGAGCGGGAAGGTCACGGGTTCGCTTCCCGGGGTCGGACCAATGCTAAGGGTCTTAAAAGAACTGAGAAATGAAGAGACGTGCTGCCTTTTCCCTCCAAAAGTCTTTACACCTTTGCGTGGCTTGGATGATCACGTTAAATGGGGTCCAGTCTCCATGAGATACCTAAACATGGTGTCCTCAATTAGTACTTTCATGCTAAATTCATTGACTCTCAGATAAAGTGCATTTTTTAAGGTCAGTTAATAACTTATTTCATAAAGTTGTTAAGGTCAACAAATTCGCCTTCAAACTGAACAGGTTCTTCGCCTTGTGTACCCAGTTGAGCGTGGTCAAGAGGGTATCCTCCTTTTCTGGGCTCTACTAATTATCACAAGTGTTGTAACTAACATTTCATATTTATGGCAGATTAATGGTATCATATTTGTTCTGGTTTTACGCGCTATGTTGACAAGTCACAAGATGATGGGAGCTTCGGACAGAAACAAAATTAAGTAAGATGGTCTTTGGATTTTTTTCTCTACCTGAAGCTGGTAGATATGAATTAACTGTCGACTTTCAGGTGCCATGAATGCGATGTGGAATAACGTGGAGTTCGACCTTTCGAATTGACTCGTCTACGCCCTGAAAACACAAAAAGCTAAAAAAGAACTCTGACACGTGCTTTCTGTCGTGACTTATGATTTGCATGGCACGGCGTGTAACTAAATACCAACGTGCTATTCTTGTCAAATCATAATTTTTTAAACTTTTTTTTCTCTTTATTTTCTTGGGAGGCAGACAGATGTATTTGAATAGCTGTTTTTATATGACTCAGATAATTTTTAACAAATACTATTCATTGAACGACCAATTGGAATATTGCATTTAGACTTATAGTTTGTCTATATAAATGTCTCAATTGTGGCTGAGTTTTTATTTTTGTGTGTTAACGGTACGGACACAGGGATACTAACATTCAAGCACTGCTCCTCAACTTCCAAGGGCACCCAACGTCAATTTTCGGAAAATATCTGTTCGGAAGACGATTCTGAGATCTAGAATTTTCGAAACATTTTTTGTAAAATTTCTTGCTTGCCTGCCTCTCCTAGGATTTTCGAACATATAAAAAATGGTATAATTGCCCAGTTTTTAACGGATTTTTACCCTAAAAAGGTCACCTAGAATTTTCGGGAGCCTTTTTTCTGGCTGAAATTTTCGAAAAGGTAGGTTTTGTTCCCTATAATTTTCGGATCACTGAACTTTCAGCTAGGAGATCCGAACAGATGAAAAATTTTTAGGGGATAAGAATATGCCTATATCTACCGTATAAATAGTAAAATACGTTTAACAATGCTATGTTTAAATGGTTTTGAACCTTATTCTCGTTTGGTGCCCCTGAACTTCGCCTTATTTGTGTCGCTTTGTTTGTTTATTTAGACTTGGAATCAAGAGTACTGTTGTTCTTCTACCTTTACTTGGTATCACATGGTTGTTTGGAGTTCTGGCATTTGATAAAAACACAGTGGTTTTCCTTTATTTGTTTGCAATTTTCAACTCTCTTCAGGTTTGTACTGTTTAGATTATGTTGAGATCGGATTGCGCGTAATAAACTGCTAAACCTAATATTATTTGCTGTTTCCTTGCAGGGATTCTTTATATTTATTTTCCACTGCGTGTTAGATCAACAGGTTTGTTACATACTTGTTCGCTATTTTTTTACCAAAGCTAGTTCTTATGACAGTCTTCATCAACGATAAATTGAAGTAAGTTTCATGATTTCAAACCCTTAATCCTATCTTACTATTGTTTACTGTTTGTGCTTTTACTACGAAGTCAGGGTTGCAGCCGAGTTTTCAGTAGATTTGAGGTCAATTGAGACTTGGAATTACTGGCATAGCAACTTTCTTATCCACGTTTATTCGGCAAGAAAGTAATTAAATCTCAGTTACAGCCTCTGTTTTTATGGCGCCCATAATTCAATTGTTTTTAAAGACAGAAATTGTCGCGTAAAGTACAACAACACAACAACGACGACTATACATTTGGGGCTTGATAAAGAGAATGTGTTTAAACAAAATCTAAACTTCAACAAGTCAAGACCATCTGTAACAGCACTCAATCCCTTTCATTCCATTCCCCTCCGACCCCTGATAAATTAGATAGGTACTGCATTTCCCGAAGCTAGTTTACTGGGCCCAAATAAAGAACTTACAAACAACATAGAGTTAGCCGCTTTTATTAAAATGACAATAACATTCTTTTCATTTGTGTTATCTAATATTTAAGAGAGTTTTGTTCGCCTAGTAAAGGTGAGGGCAACCAAAAACGCCAACCCAAGGCGGGGGGAGGGGCGGGTAAAAATTGACCTTTTAGCAGCGAGTAGCCGGAGCGAATGACAGTACGCAATAGGCCATTTGCACGATGGCGTCATTACTACGACTAGAGCCCTTTTCGTTTTTCCTTTCATATTTAAATTTTGTAATCCCAGTGTGGTTTAAAGAACAAAAAACCTAATTTACACAAGAAAGCAAAACCCTGAAGGATTCTTGTCGTAGTAGTAAAATGATCTCATAGTAGAAATGGCCTATTGAAGCATCGACTCCACGTGCGACTAATCTGTAGAGGGGGGAAGCAATTGGTCAAGTCGCACAATACCCCGATCAATTGCACGGATAATGTCTCGCAATAATAATCGAGTTACTATAAGCGGAGGGGAAAAGCATAAAAATCCTATTCGCAAGAAAATATTCCATTTATGTTTATTAACCCTCAATTCTCAGTATCCAACGGCTAGCGATGCTCGAAGGTCAATGAAAAAGAGAAATAGGTGCCTATGGTGATTCAACAAACCATCAGTGCTTCCGGCTTAATATTCAGTAGACAGAAAAAAGTGATGGGCATAACGAAAATGAAAAAAAAAAAAAAAGGAACAGTTTTTGTGTAGCCAATCATAATATTATCTTCACAATCATATTGTGTTTTAGGTTCGAGTAGCGATAGACACGTGGCGAAATAAACGAGAGCGAACAAGCTATGCTTCAGGAGCCGATTCAACTAACAAGGTTATTCTTATTGATGTTTAATGAGTGTTGGGAAATCAGTTTACAAGACTTTATTTTTGCATCCTTAATTTCTCTAAGTAAAATCATTTTGTTGAAGAGGAAATATCGAACATTCGACACAGTATTTTATCACAAGATTAAACACCCCGAAGTTCATCTTAAATACTCCGCTTTTTTCAACTCTAGTCTCAGTGTTTCATCTTGTGATGAAACGCTTTCTTACATTTGTGAAATTACTTAAAATTGGAAGCAGACCTGTTGTAATTCAAAGAAAGGACTTTCGCCCACATTGTTCACAGGTTTAATTTACTATAGATGGTTGACATTAACGATTGTCATTCTTTTGCTAGAACTAACAAAAAAATTAAGCCTTGGGGTAAAAGCAGTGAGAAAGGGTGATCTTTCATTCGATTGAAGAATTGAACAGCGATAATAACAATGAAAACATGATTTCATGAAATCAGAACTAACTACACCAATTCATCAGATAAATTAAAAAAATTAGTCAAGGAGAACATCTAGCTAACTAGCTTGAGGGTATGTATTTTGGATTAACAAACTGACTCATTTTATTTTTTTTACGCCAAATATGACTGCTTATTCTAGAGCAATCGAATGACAAACGGTCTTCCTACCAAGATATTACCAACAATTGGAGTTAAGATGTCCAACTTGTCAGAGAGTAGACCTTGTGGAAATAGAGAGGTCAGTGTTAGCCTGTGCTATCATAATATGCGGAGTCATTTTAGAACTGTGTATACATGTATCAAGCTAGAATTTGGAGAACGTTATCGCCAAATAGACCTCTTCCGTCTGCAACGTTGCCATTATAAAAACAAAGGGTGTAACGTTGCCTTTTTCTCCTCTACTCCTTTCCCTTACTCCTTGCTCTTACTATTTTTCTTTCTTTTTCCTTCGTGAGTGTGATTTTAAGCCTTCAGGAAGCAAAAAAAGGCATTTTGGCTCTTTTCCACTAAAACGGGTGCAAATTTCGTTAGGTTCGTTAGTAGTATAGTAGGTACCGAATTTACCCTTTTTCAAGTAGAATCTCTGTAGTATGGTAGTGGTGGTGGCGGTGGCGGAGGGAAAATAAAAAAAAATGAGAAAAATGCTTTAAAAGGTATTTTGCCTTTGCCCTCATAAATAAGCCGATTTCCGCGCCAAGAATCAGTAAAACGGAATCTGGACTGTAAATTGTCTGCAATGGACAATGAAAACGGAAGGAAAAATAACTTGCCCAATTATCTTTAATAAGATTCTTTAGTATTTTATTCATGACGTAAAGAAAAAAGGGCTATTACGACATTAATTTATCGCACTTCGAACTAATCTCTTGATGAATGTAGAGCTCTTTCGGCCAGCTGGGATTCTTAACCTTTTGGGCTACAATGAAAACTACTAACCTCTTTAAAGTCAAAACCGGGTCTGGAATTTAACCATTTGGGTCTAAAATAGGGTACAAGTTCATGATCCCCGCGGAACCGGGAACCCGAAAAGTTCTTTCTTCGGTCTCTTAGCCTTCCTTTTGAAGGTAAATCAGTGAACCTTTCCAAAAGTAGTAATTTGGGCTAATGAACGTCCAAAACATTGAATTTTGAATTTCCCAAAACGTAGGGGTTCTTGTCTTAGATGGAGTAGGAAAGATCAGATATTTCGGTTTAAAATAGGGTAAGGGTTACGGGAATCTTGCTGAGCCGCCTCACCTTAGTTTTTTCATGAGTAACCCGGATACAGTAAAAAGTGGTGATCAGCAAAAACTTTGTTGTTGTAATACTGACATTTGTTAATTGTCTGTTGTAGGTCTCATCTACCTGGATGAAAAACGAGACAAACAGGGCTTATATAATACAATCACGAAAGTTTAAAGAACCCAAAAAGAAGTAGTCAAGTAGCAGAAAATCTACATGTGTTTTATTTAGTATCGACAGTTAAAAACATTTTTTAGGTTGTTTTTATTATATTTTGATGGTAATTTTTAATAACTGAAGCAATAGACGCCGATACTTTTCAAGCGTGGTATCAGTCTACTCCTGTAAATTTATAAATTTTATTTATTTGTTGTCGAGTTCGAAGATTAAGACTAAAGAAATAAAAGACTCACACACGCTAGTGGTTTCTTTCTTGTTAAAACTAATGGACAACAAAAAACTATTGACAACATTTCTTGCAAATGAGAAAATCTTATTTATTTGATCGAATGTAATAATAAATGCAAATGCCAGTATATCGGAGAGACTAAACGCCACCTAAATGAAGGATTTAGAGATTTTAAACCACCATCAACTCAGCAATCCCACTCCCGTCTCAGAGCATTTCAAAGCCAGCAAGACAGGCGCAGAAGAGGGGAGGGGAGGGTGGGGGAAAGTGCGGAAGGAAAAGGACCTGGGAAGAGGGAGCCTCTTTCCTTCTCTCCCCAATCCCCTTTCCTTTTCTTTCCTTCCATCTAGCCTCTGCCCTTTCGACGCCAGCCACTCATGCCACTTTAAAATTAAAAGAACAAAGGCGCACACGACGAGCCAAAGGCCCAAACGGCCGGAGCCTATCCCGATTTCCTCAGCATGGAGCATGCTTAGGAGTATCGCATACCCATTTAAACAACTGGGCGAAGAGAGACAAAGTAGAGTAAAGTTCCTTGTCTAAGGAAACAACGCGACAGGCGAGGCTTGAACCCAGACCTCCAGATCCGGAGTTTGAGGTGTTAACCGCTCGCCGAGCCACACATGCCTTCATCTACACTTTAGCCCTTTTAAGCCTAACAAAGCATAATTATATGAGTAATATACTGTACATGCGTCAACAATTTTCTTCTTGTCTTACTTTAGTTACAACCTTTTCGACATTTATTCAAAGTACTAAATCGTAGATTTTGCAGTTATGAAGGCAAAGAAACCAACCGCAACTTCCAATTTTCACTTCATATCCTCGTTCGTTTGGCAGCAAAGTCCAAAAAGCCAATTTTTGGCCGAAAATCATCACCAAAAATTGCACCTTTTCGTCGATCGTTTATTTTTTAGGCCAAAAATTGATGTCTGCATTTACAGCAATTCTCATGGCCATGCCTTGGTATCTATTTTCGCTGGACATGCTTCAGCAATTTCCTTAGAGCCAGGATCGCCAGGAGCTCATCACATGGGCTCCTGCGCAAACTGACAAACTATTGTACGACCCGGTAAACGATTTTGTCTCTCCAAATTCCCCCACTATCCAGTACACAAATTAGATTTGTCGTGCGCGAGCCAACATGCCCAGAAGGTCATCACCTTGCCGATATTTGCCATTCCCTGTTGATGTGAAATAATTGTTACCTACTTGCCATGTAATACGCATGGAAATACATAACTAGTAATAACCAAAGGTTACGGAGAGCGGGCGACAACCATCGAAGGTCAAAACGCTACATCTACATCTGCATATCATTGCTAGACATTAAAATAAACTAATAAATATAAATATTTACATACTGTTAAAATTCAAAGAAGAAAGTAAACAAAAATAAATAACAATAAAAATAACTTACGAGATAATTCAATGGATAACCTTATGAAAAAGTGTGAGACCAGCAATTTTCCTTCGGTCTTGTAGAGGGGGCCAATCCAGATCATTCAGTAAATTTGTGACAGTTCCAGGAGTTCGCTCCCAACAATATTTTTTACGAATCGCGCAGATCGCCGCTGCACAGCTTCGTTTTGCCTTAAATGCTTATCCATCCATGGATCCCATTCTGGGCTTGCATATTCTGTGAGGTTCTCTTGCTCTGAACGATGATCGAAGGTCCAAACGCGAGTGATCAAATTGCTTCAGTGTGCATTCCATTCATTCTTAGTGGAAGTCCAATAAAAAACATGCCACGCATGCGTAATACGAAATTTTACGGAATGCAGGCGATAACGATCGAAGGTCAAAACGCTTTTGCTCCAACGCTGTGCTTTACCTTAGTTTTATGTTACAGATGGTCACGACATGGGTGACCAAATTGCGTTCTATGCATTCCATTTATTCTTAGTGGAAGCCCAAACGAAAGCTGGCTACATACATGCGACGAATGCGTAATAACAATCTGGAGATTATGATTGCGGGCTCCTCTTGTCGCCCGCAATTGTGGTTGTTTTCTCCCAATACTCCCACTCTTTCTCTAAGGGACAGTGAAGCCTGGCCCCAGTTGTCAAAAAGCTGAATAGCGCTATCCACCCAGCGGATAAGTACTTGGGAAACCAATTGCGTTATCCACTCGATAGAGATTTATCCATCGGATTGCACTATCCATCTTTTGAACAACCGGGGCAAGGCTAGACCGATCGCTATCGCTCCCCCCTCCCCTCCCCGACGATTGCCAGGCAACGCAAGAGGGAGCCCTGGAAACCAACAATCCAAGATGGCGGATCCTTCGAGTCGTGTGCGTTCAAATAGCGAGTTTAGGGAGCGTTTGATGGAAAAGGTTCAAGTGAATGTTACGGAAACAGGAAAGTTAGCTCAGCAGCTGTTAAAAAGCTCGCGTTCCCACGAGGTAAACTATTAAAATATTTCGTCATTCTGTTTGTAATCGTAGAGGGAGCCCGGAAAGCTAAGGGAGGCTGCAGTTTACCAATCCTCGGGTAATAGCTTATTAAATACAGTCAATTCTCTCGTAAGCGACCACCCTTGGTGCGCAGAAAAGTGGTCGCTTACGAGAGGTTGTCGCTTATTGGAAAACGTATTAAAATAAGCTAAAACTGAGTTGATTAACGTAGTTAGATAAAGATAAATGAATTTTGGTCGTTTCGCCTACAGTCAGGTCGATTCACCTACACGATCTAAGTCGTTTCGCCAACACAGTTGCGCTTGAAGTTCGGTAAGTATTAAACTAAAACAAGTTTAATTTTACCTTTTACCTAGTTCAGACGTTCATCAACCGATCTTTCTTCATTGTTTTCCTAAGTGCAATGCATCAAAAGCAGACATGACATAACACTGGTACGGTTATTTTACTTCACAAGATAATGATTAGACACCGGTAAGCTTTACTGTCATTTGTACACTGTTATATTATATGTAGTCCTTCATACGAGACTGTAAAACTTGAAACTTCATTGCAGGCAAAACGACTTAGATCGTGTAGGCGAATCGACCTGAGTGTAGGGGAAACGACTTGTAGACGAAATGACCGGTTTCCAGATAAATTACACCTACCACTTCTCGTAAGCGACCATCCCTCAACCACTTTGCAAATAACCGTTTTGTTTCTCCCTCAAACACAGTTTAAAAAGCTTTTTCGTAAGTTACTGCGGCCACTTTTAAGGCCAGAAATTTGACTCATTCCTTTGTTTAAGTTTCTGGGAAGCGACCACACGGCACGATCTTGTATGATAAGAAAACCATGACTAGAATGTCACAAAAGTTCAATTCCTAATAGCGCTCACCCAGAGTGCTGACAAATACATTGTAGTAACAGTGTAAAAAAAAAGAGAAGTTAACTGACTATCAGGATTGCAAAGAGTTGTCCTTTGCAGCTGATCTGTACTCTTGTTGACCTGAGGCTCAAAACACAGAAGTAATCAAGCATTCAAGACTTCGTGGAGAAGCTTTCGAATGGAATCGATTGATTGTAAATTGTAAACATTGTACAGTCTGAACTAGAGTGTAAGCACGTATGTGCACCCTATGTTTCGAATTTTTCCCAGGTTTTTTTCCGTTAAAACTGAATATAAGTGATTTGTGATTAAGAAGTGACAATTTTTAAACTGTATTGTACTTGTTGCTCGTAAAAAAAGCAACTTTGTTTCAGGCATAGGAAACATTGTCTAGCTATGAGAGATTTGACTGTTCTAGGGAGTTACAGCTAGCTCTTCCAAAATGTGTTAACAGCTGTTTTAAAGTAGCATTATCCAGCCTCTTCACTAATCCTGAATAACAACATCATTTGTACGTGACATATCTGTCCTCTCCTCTGGCCTGGTTACACTGTATATTACAGCTGTTTGGTTTATCCTTCTTGCCTCAGCGTGGGCAGATATAAATTAAGCTTGAATAAGATTGTATATAAATTTCAGACAGTTGAGTTAAGCGACATAAGCATTTGTCACCCATAAGTAACCCATCCAAGCCTCGTGGCCCTTCTGCCTCTACCAGCAAAATAAATGAAACTATCACTCAGGACAAAGTAGTCTTTGGGAGTTGTAAATACACTGTACAGTACCCTGGTACTTTGTAGTGTCTAGAAAACTCTTTCAAGGTCTGAGATTTCCAGATTTGAGGGGGTCTGAGTTGTTAATTTGTACTTTCCCTATAATTTTGTTTTTTTATGTACATGTATAAGTGTAAAACACTTACAACCATTTTGTGACCTAAGATGGACAGGGGCGGATACAGGATTTTTTTTAGGACATATAGTTGTTTTTTGCAGAATACCAGTTGTATTAAAAAACCGCAGGTCAGCTCAGGGGGGGGGGGGGGGGGGGGGGGTGCGCACCCCTTGCACCCTCCCCCGAGATCCGCCCCTGATAGAGGTGACCAACTTGACATTCCTTTGATGCTATAATAAATGACAAAATGTTGGGTGGCTTAACTCAGCAAAGCTTGATTTAAGTCCTGCATGCCATCCAGGACTGGTAGTTTTTCTTGCTGGGCAAGTTACATAAACTTGTAACTTATTCTGACTTGCTGAATGGGTCGGGTTCTATACAGGCCCTCTTAAACGAAGCCATTTAAAAGGATTTTATGATAATGTGTTCATTTATACATTATTGCAAACTGATCAACTTTGTAATTTATCTCAAGCCAAGATTCTGTGATGGATAGACTTTTTAACATTTCCCTGCCAGTGCCTAAAGCTGCTTCATTTACATGTAGTTAATAGATTAAAAATGTTCAAATGAGGCCTAAACTGCTGTCCAAGCTTTTGCCTATCGACAGCATCATCACCTGATCATGCTGTTGATCACCGAAGGCTTGAATTTTATATTTTTTAAAACAGACAGTAGTTTGAGGCGTCATTTGAACATTTTAATGTTTTAATTACATTATGCTGCTGAAGGACAACAGGGCTGTCATTAAGAGGTGGAGGACTGGGGGATTTCCCCCGGCGACTATGAATGTGGCCCCAGCTACTTTCATAGGAAAATACAATCATGTAGAAGAAAAATAGAACCAAATGAAATCCCTAGCTGTTTTATTCCCCACCTACTTGTTGTGTTTACATGGAAACTTGAAATCTACTGTGAGTGACATCTCTGGACAACTTGAACAGATTATTGCTTCATTTAACCTTGACAATGTTTGCTTTAAAATTTACTGTAGATCCTGACTCAGACTATAAAACAGTTTGTAAGTCAAGAAGGAGCACTTATGAATTCACAAGAGGTATTCTTACATAAATTATGTTTTAAACATCTGTGAGAAGATAAATAAATATAAATACCACAATCAACATACATGTACATAATTAAGAGATCGAATTACCAGTTGCTTGTTAAAGCATTTAAGTAAGGGGTTTGGGGGTTAACTTTTGGGGTTAACTTTTGGTCCAGGGATTTTTTCGGTTTTGTTAGAAGCCCTGGGGACTTAATTGACTTTTAACCTTTGCTTTGGTTTTTTATTTATTTATTTTTTTTGCCCCCATTTGCCCCATTCCCAGCATTTGAAATCGGGAGTACCTCTTTTGTGGTTATATGCCAGGAACAGTTACCAACCTCTTGAAAGAGTTAAACTGGATACCGCTGAAGGCATGAAGAACAATCTTGTGGTTAACCTTATTCTATAAAGCAATTCATGGTGATTGCGGCCTGGCTTTTCCAGACTATGTTATGGAGTGCAGAAGACATTTTAAGGAACTCTAGCCAGAACAAGTTTATTGAACTGCTGCCAAATACTGAGACTTATAAGAATCTTTATTTTTGTAGAACTGTCAAGGACTGGAATGTGTTACCGAGTGAAATTGTTAACAATAAGTCCGCGATTGATTGAAAGAAGTTTTATTTGAGTATTTTAGTCAATCATGAATTTAAATATTGTACAATAATTAATACTTTGATATTTTTATTCATTTTATCTTTTACGAGATTTTGTCATTGCTATCATTATTGTTAACTTAATTTTATTTTATTTAGCTAGACATCTTTTGTGATGGAATCCCTATTGCAAGACTAGAAATTTTTGAATGAAGGTTGAATGTCAAAAATGTGTTAAATGGATACTTGAGGGACAGTAATTCATTGTCAAGGAGGCTGACATACTGATACAGTCGTTATTATTAAAAGATGCATAGGTAAATGTTGACAGAATAATATTTTCTTTTTTAGCAACTGAAACACTGTGAAAAGGTCATCACAGACATGCAAAAACAGTAAGACAAATACTCTGTTTAATATTAACATTATAACTTATTACTTTCATTGAGCATGTTATTTGAATGTTTTCACTTAAAGAAGGAAACATGTACATGTATGCAAAAAAATTAATGTGATTGTGTATTTTGTTGTATGAAGAGATATACGCACAACTAACTTCAGTTTACCCATGATAATAGACCTATTCGGCTAACTCAATGTTGTACCCAATTCAAACCCTTTGGGAATAAAACGTTTTGTTTCAGGAATTTCCACATCATTTAAATGTGAATGCCACATTATAATGCAAATACAATACACAAAGAATCTTAACCAGTTAGCCAAATAGGTCTATGACCATTAACAAGGTCTTTTGTTTTACACAATAATTGTGTAAAACAAAAGACCTTATTAAACTGTCCTTTAGTTAACCTGCTCTAGCTCAGTCAGTATTTTTTTTTACCGAGCAAGAAGTTCACTTACAGGGATAATTCATTTGAAAGACGTTTTGTAATCATCTTTTTGTTTGCGTTGTTTATCTTTGTTCTTTGCTGAAAAAAACTTAGAAAATCAGATGTAATATACCATAACTGGTGTTGCTGCTCATTGATTTTCCACTTTTTGAGCTTGATGCATGATGAATCTACTTTGAGATCTATTGAAAACCATTCTGTGAATGTGCTTGATCATCCAGGTTAATGGAAGTGTTTTTTTTTTATTTTAAGGTTTGGGGACATTCAACATAGGTATGACCAATCTGTTCCTACAGAAATTAAATAATTATTATAGAATTAATAAGAATATGGTACAATTATAGTTAATGTAAATTTGTTAAAATCATGATTTTTTTCAACTGAAATATAAATTGGTTAATTTTATTACTATCTTTTTTCTTTGAATAGGCCTCTTTCCCAGTGTCTGTGAATACCCACAGTTGAAAAATATTGCTTACACTTCCTGGCAAACTCAACTTTTGTTAAAAGCTAAGGAAACAAAGACAAGACAAAAATTGGATTTCAATGCATGCTTTAAATCTGATAAAAACATAGCTGTATATTTCGTGGATGTTTTCAAAAAATGTTATGCTACAGTTCTCTGAATTTACTGGATGTGTTGTAAAGTTCTTATATTTTAAAAACCTCAGATTTTTAATTTACATATACATTTTTCAAATACAAAAAATAAATATGTAAAAAGGTTTTTAAAGTACATGTATAAGAATTTTGAACACATCCAGTTAATTTCTTTTACTGTTGTATTATTCTGTTCAACTCCAGCTGCTTTTTCTTCAGTTTACAGACAGTCAACAGAATTAGTGAACAACTTGAGCCACCACACAGGTTAGTTGGTGTTCTTATTTTTCCTGGCATCATTTTTTACATTGTACAGTATCTACTAGCCTGAATAAACAGCTGACATTTTTCGTGATGCCACAACTGGTTTCCCCGGTCATAAAAGGAGGTCTGAGAAACAAGCACAAATGGAGAAAAGAAGAGCTGTGGAAACCTTGGTTTTCCATAAGCTCACAATTGAACAATATACATTCAAGTGCTGCACCAAACTGTCGAAAAAATATAGTTGAAACCAGATCCTCTAACGACATGAAAATGACATAACATACATGTATTGTATGTATTACTTTGGTTTATAGTTTCATAAAGCAATGATGTAATATTATTTTAAATTACATGTACATGTGGCAGTCAGAACACTTTGCGTGCCCCCCTTTCATGCTCTATTAAAACTAACCATACATATTTTTAAAATTCATAGTGCTTATTGTAAGATGTTAATATTGAAGTGATAACAAAAATGCAAGAGAAGGAGGGTGCATGATTACATAAAGCTTGAAGCTGAAAGAGTGTGTATAAAATTAATGTGAGCCAGCGAGTCATGCAGTCCATTGAAGAATCATTGAAAAAACACCATAAAAATCAAAAACAGTAATACGGAAAACATTAACTGAAGGCTAACCGTTGTAAATAAGTGTTTAACCCTAAACAGCGCTTAACCCTAGCCCAAAAATGAGTGCTTAACCCTAATCCGTAAAATGAAAGCTTAACCCTAATCTGTACAATGAGTGCTTAACCCTAATCAGTATAATGAGTGCTCGACTCCTCATCTATAAATTGGCAGTTTTTACTTGTGTTTCCTTTTTTTTTACCGATGCCTTGCGTGACTTGCATGGCTCGCTGGCTCGCAGTTTGTCAAGACCCAAGCTGAAATAACTCTTAAAACTATTTTTGTTGAAGGTACAGAAAACACAGCAGAGGTATTTTTCTTGCTTTTTTATGGTCTGAATTCTGTTTGGTATCTGAGTTTGATTTTATTAATAATTATTACAAAATTTGGGAAGAGAAACGCTTCTTCGCTTGATTTTGATTTGCAAATGTAAACTTTGACCAAAGATTGAAACATAATCCTTAATTGGTATGATATGGCATCTTTTAACATTAAAGTTAAGAACGTGGGTGAAAAAGGTATTACAATAACACTTGAGAAGAAAACAAAATAAAATAAAACAAAACCAAAAAAGCAACAACAACAAAAAACAACAACAACAAAAAAACATAGAAATGAACTGGCAAATTTTTTATTTGTGTATAACCTATTATAATAATAAATTGAAAAAATTCCTTAATGATAGACATTGAAAAACGTTTACCACTGAATTATATTAACAGTTTCAATAATTTTTTCTAATAAAATATATTACAACAATCTGTTGTTGAGTTAAATACTCCTGTGTAGGCTTTCCAGTTAACACTCCTTGATAGTCTAGGTATGCGTACAGGCACCGTACTAACCATTTTAAACAAGAATTGTGACAGTTCTCTCACATTTGTTGGTTAAGAGCCATTGTTTATTTTTCTTGAAGCTTTCTTGATTCAGTGTTAAAATTTTAATAACTGTTGTAAAGAGAAAAAACGAATTGACCACAATTTTCACACTTCTGTTATAATGTTGCTGTGGTATGAACATTTTATGACATCATTGATCCTTAATCTATTAGAGGGTAGGAAATGAGACATTCTGGTAGAGATCTGTGTTACGGTACCTGTACACATTCTAATCAACTCAACTATGCAGGGCTGTTTTATTATTGCATTTATCAGTTATAATAGTAACCTTTAGATGTAAGTAGACTGTGTGATTTTAAGCATCCCAAACAGCTCTCCACTTGTTGCTTACTGCTGGCTGTATACAGACTGTAGTAGGTAAGAGGCTACTGTAGATCATATTATTCAGGAAATAACAGTCACATTGTCAAAGCTAAAGATCCCCAATTAATTATCAGGTTTAAAATTATGTAAACACTGATTTACCATACATGTACTCTGTCAGTATTGGATTGTCCAGGTCAAAACTCAGACCTCTCTGTCGAGATATGCTGTGTGTCCCCAGCAGCAGAGTCTCGAGAGGCTGCTGGGCTTAATCACAAACTACCTTTGACAGAGATGACTGTAGTTATAATCACAAGTGTATTATCCTTGAGGCAACTTTAATTTCATTATTTACCTGACTGTTGTACTACATTTTGGTGTAAATGGAATTACAGTTATAGGTAAACATAACCCCACCATGCTAATTCGACACCAAAATACAGAAACCTGGGTCTTTCCTTTGTAGATAAATAAGACATGTTTAACAAAATAAATAGAATTAAAACCTTCTTAATGCATGGGGGATTTGATTGTACTTCTTTAAGCAGACAATAATATTAGCCACTGAATGTCTGTGTTGTGGTTTAATATTGTATTTTCATTTGTTTGATAATTAATATCATAAAAAAGCTTTACGCAAAAGAAAGGCAAGGGCATAGTGACTGTATGCCAGTATGAAAGTGTATATTTCAAATAAATAATAATATTGTAGAAGATATTAACAGAAAAGATAGATTATTCCTTCTTGTAATCGTTTTTCACATTAACGAAAAATTAACACGCGTGGTCATTTGCATGTCTCGGGCGTTTTGCTTGACTGACCAAGAAAAAAGAGAGACTGCTCATAGTCTAGGTAACCTACAGTGTACATCTTAATGATGATGATGATGATGATTATTAATTAATTAATTAAGCTCTTAAATTTTTGCATTGCTCTATAAGTCCATTTTATCATACTGTTTAAACATACAATGTACATGTACGCAAACAGTTTTCCACAAAAATCATTTTGATCAAGTTGTGCAATTACTTGTGTTTATAATGCATCAACTGGAATTTTGCTTTTGTTCAGATAAGAAGGGAAGAATGTGATGATGAAACCCGCTGGCCCAGCTTTTGAATGCATCATCCCCTGTGTTGCTGATGGCAGGATTGTAGTTCTTCAAGCAGTTCATAATATTACATTATACTAGTCCATCATAAAGTGACAATGCTTGTACAATGGATGGATCTGACTTTGAACCTTCACGGAACTCTTCCTCTGACAACTTGCCATCTTCATTCTAAAATGGAAAAAAGTTGGCCTCTTAAAGAAAAAAACATTGTAAAATTTCTGATACTGGCAGGCCAAACAGGGATAAAACCTTTATCACAGACAGCAGCTGAGCTGGCAACTGTCATCAATGCCTCAGTCCCTTTTTCCACAACAGAAAACTGAGATCACTGTTGGTCACCTCTAGTAACATACTTTTTGGCACTTTCAACTGCTTTTGAAACCAAGCAAGATAAACTTAAGCCATGGAAGCAAATAACCCCGTTGACATCATCCCTCTTCATGGACATAAAAACTATGGACCATTCCTCCGCTGCAGGGATCTACATGTATGAGACCCATTCCCTGGAGGAAAATTAACTCAGTACAAGCTCCAAACAAGTTTTTGAACAGGGAATGTATGGAAGACCAAAAAAAGACCTGCTCAAGTGAATCAACAATGTGTTTTGTGTTGTTTAATAACAGCTGATTTTGTGAATCAATCAGGCATCAAAACTTGAACTTCGCCTTTTTGTCTTGTCATTGAGGACACCAAATTAGGCTGCTATTGAAGACAGAACTTTTATTTCTATGTGGTCGTCTGAGCTATGTGTACTTCAAGCTGTTTGTGAGGCAAAGGAAGTATCTTATTTTTCCTCGATCAGTGATTATAAAAATAATCAATTTGAAGATCCAGTGGTATTATACACTTAATGTCAGATCCCGAGGGAAACAGTTAGTTTTGTTTTCCCGAGAGTCCTGATGTTTCCCGAGACGAGGTCGAGGGAAACATCGAGGGAAAACAATTATACTTCTAGACTTTCACTTCAACAGCATCAAGAGAATAACCGGAGCGAACCAAAACAGTCGACTTGGTACTTATAGCAACACAAATTTAATTCTCAAAACCACTGAATGAATGATTTACAAAGTACCTTCCTTATATTATCTGCATCATTTTCCTCCACTAGCTGCTGTTTCTCTTCTGGTAACTTAAAATCGTTGCTTTTTAGCTTGAGGCTTCGTGTTTGTGTTGTTGTGTTCATTCACGAAAAAGAAAACTGGCAGGACCTGGCAGTATTTTTCCCGCCTTTTGTCACGCCACTTTCCACCATGCTTTGATCACGAGCTGTAATGTAGCCCGAGCGGGGTACATTGCTTAGTGTATCACGATCGGGATACATTTGATTTTAGTCAAGGCCACGTGACCAAGAATCAACCAATGGCAGTCCACGTTTAGTTGAGTGAAAGTCTAGAAATATAATAAGTATAATTGTTGACATCCTACTTCTCAGGCAAGATTTCTGCCAATAAATATTGGCCTAGCTTTGCCATAGATATTTCTGCTTTTTGTTGTTCTTGTTGTTGTTGGTGTCTAATTATTGGATAATAACAAATGTTTGAGTGCCAGTACTGTCTGTTATTGTGTAATTCATTAATAGCCCTCAGTTTGACATCATTAAAGGGAAAGGTGCAGTAAGTATAGTGGCTTACAGTGTCCATTTGACTAAATATTCGGTTGACTCTCTTCTCGGGTGTGTCCTCATCCTCTGGCAATTTAACCATACTGGCCTTTGATGAAAATAATAATATTAAATATTACAGTTAAATACTGGACAACTTTTAAAAACCAGTACTTCCTGTGATATCATTATTCTTAAAATTCATGTTGTTTCACCAGTTATTGTTTTAATTTTATCAGTGGTCTATTCTGAGAAATATCTAGAGTGAACTAAGCTGCCAGTGTTCACAGTTTTAAAAGGCTCTAAAGGTTGATCTCAATCTAGTGGTACATGAGCAAGCAACCTCCAGGCAGGTACATTTACTAACTAATCAGTTCAAAATTTGAAGTCAAGTAGGTTGGTGGCTGCTTACTTGAGATGTTTTGGAGTTAATGTTTCCTTAATTGGCTAGGGCAAAAAACTTTGCCGGCCGGGAGGCAATTAATTAAAAAAACATCTAGTTGTTTTTAAGTATTATATATGTCA